CGCACAGGTGGGTGTGTTGGGGATCAACACCTGCGAGGTCTGCAGGCCTCCAAAGGCAGAGGTGCTATGTTCATTTTCTCTTTGCTCACCTTAGTCACAGACTGGAAACTTTCAACCTCTAGTAGAAGCTCTAGGGTCCTCCAAGGCCTCATGGCCTCTGGAATTTCTGCATCACCAAAGTTATCAACTCTCCAGGCATGGGTGGCAGAGCAAGCTCCTCCTATTACTCAATTCTGACTTCTACCTATTAAGCAGGGGCTCCTTGAGGAAGATTGATTTACCACATTAAACGAGCCTCCATGTGCTCGATGAGGATGTCACAAGACAAACGGCTCCTGCTGTGTGTCTCCGGCCCACCACCCCATGTTTCCATTACATTTGGGCCAGAGTCATGGTGGATGAGTTTGGATGTAGTTCATTTTCTGCCTTACACGATAAACTTGTCAGCGTCTGACCGATCAGCTGCTTGTATGCAGGGAGTTCATTTGCAAGGCCACCTGGCATCCTGGCTCTACTATCCTGCTCCCATTTCACTCTGTTTAATGAGCCAGGACCTGATTCCTGTTGAGTGGTGCTGAGCTCCGGGGTCCTGCTCAACCTGCATGCAATGATGGTTCAGCCCTTCCACAGGGGTTCCTCTGTCTCGCCTGGAGGTGCCTGGGGCACTGATGCCCAGGGACCTGTCCTTTTACGCCACCAGCTTCAAGTTACCCAGCTGAAAAGGAGGGTGCCCAACCCTCACTCTTCTGCCCAGCGGCTGCATCAGGCCTGCTCCCCAGGCTCTGAGCTGGACAGGCCTGCCTTGGGCTTCCCGGGGAGCTGCAGCCTGCCTACTCTACACTGCCCTTGGGGCTGTTTCATAGGCAGATACCAAGCCTGGGCTCCCAGAGCTCACTGAGACACAGGCCAATGTGTAGAGCATTGGGGCTGCCCGTGGTCCCCAGGCCCAGGCCCTCCCCAAGTGGCTAGGCATCACTGACAAGCTCCACTCACCAGCCTGGGTGTCTGCTGCCCAGCCTCAGAGCCTTTTCCAGCACTGTTACTTCCTTTCTGATGTGTTCCTTCCTTCCTCTCCACCTATTTTGAATCAGACCCAGGCCTGGCCAAGGCCTCTCTACGCTCTGAAGTCACCAGCCACCCTGAGCCCAGGGACCCCCAGAAGAACACATAGTGCAGGGCCGGGCACCATGGCTGTTGGCAGGGGCTCCAATAGGAGCCGGTGTGGGGGAGTTTTGCGGAGGGTAAGCAATCCCTTTCCTGTCTCCCTCTCTCCTCCACCCCTTTCATCCTACGAAACTCCTTGCCACAAAGGTAGTAGTTTCCTGTCTTCCAAAGAGCCTGGAAGGGCTCTCTCTCTGAGCTATGCCCACAGATCTCAGCCTCACCTGTCCATGCACACTCAATTCCACTGCCAGGCATGGATGCTTCCTGTGCCTACCTAAGCCAGGGAGCCAGGCCCTGCTCTCTGTGAGCTCAAAGCTTGAGAGGAGGTGGCCAGGTCAGATTTTAGGGCTGGATGGTCAGTGGCTGGGTCTGGGGCAGCTACAGGGTCCCACACGGTGAGGTCACGCCTTGTGCGGTAGGAGGCAGTGGGTGTGGAGGTAACTGGTTCGGCGCTAGCTCAGGCTCTGTGTGAGGCCAGCCTGGTGGAGCAAGCAGAGGATCCTCGTCTGCCCTGAGCAGGCGCCCGAGCCAGCATGTTACCAGGGCAAGGCGTTCGGGGTGGGGCAGGAGCTCTCTGGGTTGCTTTCACCCACACGGGACGCAGGGCCCACACTGTGATAGGGTTTGGGATCTCCGGAGCATTTGATGAGTAGAGCTTTGATAGGCAGAGAAGGAGAAGGGCTCCCACCCAGGGGGCAGGCTGCATGATCTGAGGGGATGGATGTGCACAGGTATCCAAGAGTGGCAGGAGCTCCTGTGAGGTCCATGACAGGATTCCAGGGAGATGACCCAGTGGGGCAGCACAGGCTAGCCATGGAGTCCGGAGGGCCGTGTTGAGAAGTTTGGATTCTATCTTGTGGGCAGTTGAAGTTGACTCAAGTTGAAGAGGGTAAAGTGATGACTGTGCCACATTTAAGGGAGGAGGAACAGGAGTTTCCCACCTCCCTGCACCCACACTGTCCACCACAATGGAGTCTCATTGAACATTCAATCCCCAGGGCTTGGACCAAAGCGTGGAAGTTGATCAGAGGAGGCAGGAAAGTCCAAGAGGCCAGGTGGAAGGTGATGAGTCACTCTGGACTCATAGGGATCAAGAAGAATCTTGAACACAGAGGGCTCCCCTAATCCATATTCCAGACAAATTGGGGAGGGAGGGAGACCCAAGGAGGGGCTGGCTTGCTGGCCAGCCTCATTCCAGAGTGGAAGGCCAGCATGAGAGACTTCTCCTTCCTCCAGGATGTGCAAGAGGAAGGAGGAAGATGATAAGGACCACAGTCTCCTTTCACTGGTGGACATCTGTGGACACCTCTCGTGAACCTGGAGAATTCACCCCGCCAGAGCATGGACTGCTCAAGTGGCCTTAGCATCTGTGTGCCCAGGAGGTGCTGAGGAGCTCCAGGGGAGGGTCTCAAGTGTTGCCTCACTTGAGGCTGCCTGTGCTGGGGGCAGGGAGCAGCCCAGAGAGCCCAGAATGAGGCCAAGAGGAGGGAGGAGCAGACAGGACTTCCTCGATGGCCCCTCCAGGCCCTTAGCTGGACAGAGGAAAGGACAGGCAAGTTCCAGACATTGTCCTCAGTGGCAGTGTCAGCTGTGGATTCAGCTGCCCCCCGACTGGGGAAGGCACTGCTGTGCCTGGCTCTACCCGCGGGCAGGACCTGGCTGGTGAACGGAGGCTGCGGGGAGATCTGAGCCTCAGGGTGTGGAAGTCACACCTACTCCCACACATTCCCTGGACATCAGGAAGGCATCTTCCAGATGACTGTGACACACGATGGGCATATTTCTTGGCTTAAGGCTCTGGAAAGAAAGAAGGCTCCAGACCTGGGGGCTGGGGTAGGATGGGGGGTAGGTTCTGAAAAGAGGAGTTCAGACTTAGCAGTCCTTGCAGTTCCAAAGGGAGGGGGAAGAGCCTGGGTGGAGAGGAGCAAGTGGCCGCAGAAGCAGAGGGCTGCACACCCGGGCTCAGAATCAGGGAGCACAGGACGGCCAGTACCCAGGACCAGGGCTGTCCAAAGGTCTGCCCTTATGCTAGGACAGGAGGGAGCTGGGAGGTGACTCAACCAACTGCCTTTTTGGAGGGATTTTCAGCCCCCAGAATGTTTCTATCTGACATAGAGAATAGCATTCTGGACAGGGACCTTAAATATCTACAGAGACAGGAGAGTTAAATAAATGAGAAGACCGTGGAGAACCAAGGGCACAGCTTCTCAACTCCAGCTCATCCCTGCAGTGTGAGGATGTGAATTCAGTGCAACTAAATGGTATAAGATTAGTATTAGAATTGGTCACATGTGACCGAAAACCCAAAATATTAGTATCTTAAAAAAAACAGAGGTTTCTCTCTCTCATATATACCAAAACCGAGCCTTCCAGAGCTGATAGATGGTTAGAATTCTTCCATCTCACTCTGAGGATGTGGCCTGCATCCTCCTGGCCCAGAATGGAAGCTAGGGCTCTGGCCATCACACCTGTGATCCAGGCAGTAGGATAGAGGAAGGTGGAAAAATGAGCAAAGAGAATGTGCTAACTGTATTTAAGGAGGTTTCTTGAAAGCTGTCAGATAGTGTTTCTAGATTTTTGTTGGCAGAACTGAGACATGATTTCCCCCAGCTGTAAGAGAAGCTGGAAAATGTAGCTTTAGTTCTGCTCATCTATGTGCCAAGCTACAAACCAGGTATTCTATGACTGAAGTGGGTATGGATATTAGAATATGCCATGTAATGCTCCTTTGCCTCCAAATAACACATACCCCATCTTCTCATGCATGGAACACACTGGGACTGGGGGAAGGGTGTAACCGTGCACCCCATATAGCCCAGGGGTCAGGATGCCTGGGCGATGGCAGCCCTCACCATCGGGTCCTGATGCCCCACCGCCTATGTGGGATGGTGCAGAAATAACACAGTCACCACAGTAAAGACTCCTGATTGGGAGAAAAGGTATATGGGCCCACAGTCATGGCAGCTGTGGCCACAGTCAGGTCCCACTGGGCAGGCTTTGCAAACCTTCCTGCGCTCAGGAGAGGAAGCTGCATGGGGCAGCCCATCTGGCTAGCCCAGCTCTACTTTAGAGAAAACTCCATGCCCACTGTCTCCTGTGGAGAAGTCAGACTCTCAGTGACATGTCTTTTGTACAACTCTGAGACCTTTAGTGTATTTGTCCTGATGAACTCTACATGCCTGAAACTGCCCCAGTGGGCTCATCTGGCTACAGATTCAGGGGCAGACTGGCCCTTCCACCTGCCCTTTGCATAGAAACAACAGCTGGGGTGAGGGGGGACCTGGGAGAGCAACACCCTCACTTCCTTACTTCCAATTTTCATGTGAAATTGACTAAAACTTTTTGGCAACTAATGTTTGAAAACCACAATTCAGGACAGATGAACTTGCCTATGTGCCAGACGTGTGAGTAATGGGGACACTGGGTGGGGAAATTGGGACTCCTCTAAGGGGACCGTTGGATGGGGGAATTGGGGCTTCTCTGACACAAGCTGGCCCGAGAGTCTAATGCATCTGGGGAAGACCCCATACCACCCCCTTCATCTTGGCGGGCAGGACTAGTGACTGCACATCTTGGGGCAGAACTGGCTACAGCTGGAGGGCAGGACTCTTACAGGAACCCTGGGGGTGTGCCAGCCCCCAGGGTTAGCACAGAAGCTCAGGACAGTAACCTGGACTTACCAGCTCACCCCCTGGAGTACAGGGGAGGGGGTTCAGGATTGGCTCAAGGTTTGGGTGTCCATATATGTATCTGCCTATGGTGTGGGTTCTGCAGAAGGGACCCCAGGCCCAGGGCTGGGCAGGTGCTAAGTCAGGCCGTGCTGGCCCGCCCTGCAGACTCCACCAACCGGGACTCTCTGGATATGATCGAGCGCTGCATCTGCCTGGTGTGCCTGGATGCCCCCGGAGGCATGGAGCTCAGTGACACCAACCGGGCGCTCCAACTCCTCCACGGCGGAGGCTGTAGCAAGAACGGGGCCAACCGCTGGTACGACAAGTCCCTGCAGGTAAGCCTCCCCATGGCATGGCCGGTGGCCTGAGTCGCCTCGTGCTCACGTCCAGCAGGCTCGCTCAGTGGCCTCGGCTGCCCACCCAGGATGCTGCATCTAGGGCCAGGGAAACCGAGGAGATGTGCTATTCGAGTTGTCCCCTGGACTGGCCAGAACTCTTCTCAGGAGCAAGTGGCCAAATGTAGCGCTAACTCCCTAACTTTCCTGCAGCCTGTGCTCAGCCTAGGGCCCTCTGGGTCAGACCTGGGGCTCATTCCCCATCTTCCATCACACACCATCAGGTGGGGGCATGCCAGGGACTCCCATCAAACAAACCCTCAACGCATTCATCAAGAATCATGTCTGATGCCCAAAGACTACAGTGTCTGAATTTCCATCACCCTGGCCCTGACATTTCAACACACCTTCCTTCATCCCTGAGGAGTACGGCAGCCCAGCATTTCCACAGAAGAAGAGTCATAAAATGAAACAAAACCATTCACAGAGTTCTCATTCACATGACGTCAGCCCAGAAATAAGACATTCACTTTGACCTAGAGAAAAATACTCACACAAATGGGGATGAAGTTCAGGCCATTCATTCCCATCCCCCATCCTTTTTCTCCAGCATGCTGATCCTGAATCTAGCCTTGTTTATTTGTAACGCTCCAACACTTTCACGATGACTGTATTAAGTGGCACCCAACCATGTTTATGTTTTGGTTTAGCATCGCTCTGGTTTTGGTTTAGCTCCCACTGGTAAGCTTTTCTAGACTGCCTCATTTTTCTCTCTCTCTGTCCCCTACATTCTGCAGGTTATCCTTTTTATTGGTTTGCATATTGATTCTGCTATTTCTGATGAGTTCTCTCCCTGCTGCGCTGGCTATTTAGCCTCCACCAGTAGTGTTAATGGCTTGCAATCTTTCATGAAGCAGCTGTGGGAATGAAATGATATAATGGATGTACAGGGCCTGAAACATAGTAAGCTTTGGTAGTGGTTTTTAAAAGGCACCATTTTCCACCCTTACTTTTAGTGACAGGAACAGAAAAGCACTAATGTGTGAGTGGCCACAGCCCTCCCCTCCTGCCTTATGTGTGCCCACTTCCGGGCTCTTTTTTGCAGACAGGACAGATTATCAGGGGAGCTGGAGAAGCCCAACAAGTTCCATGGACCTGAATGGAAAGGTTTGAGAGCAAGTCTCAGGACAGAAAGGCAGAGGGCATGGGGGAGAGTGAGAAAAGAGCCTGCATGGATGGACCTGCAGAAAAACTTGTGGGAAGTGTGCTTGTTTGAAGAATAGGAGTAACGATTCTGGGAGCTGGCATACTATGAGACTGGGGGAGACTGGGACTCAGCTCAGAGGTGTGCCATGCCACAGGTCCCCGGAAGGTCTCATACAGATTTCAGTAGCTTGTGTATTTGTTTGCTTGTTGGTTTTTTGCTTATGGATGATGGGTTAGTACCTCTGGAGTGTAATGCTGTGCTGAGGTGGACTTCAAGGCAGCTCGACTGTATTCAGATTATGCTTTTAGAATCAAGAGCTCATTCTTTTCGTGATTTCCTGCTAGTAACTTTGTACACACTGAGCATCTCCCTTTCCGACGTCAGCTAAATCCAGCCTTTGTATAGTTAGAAAAATCATGAGTAATCTTGATAGTTTCCATGGGCCTTACGTATACCGTCTCTCTAATCCTTGTATTGATCCTGTGAACTGAGCCTTATTGAATTCATTTTAAATGAGAGTAAACTGAAGCCAGAGATTTGATGCGACTTGTCAGAGCTCTCCCGGCTGGAAGGTGGTAACCACAGAACTGGAATTGGGGATCCTGACTTGAAGCCCAGGCAGCCGTGAATGGGGCATCCTTGGTACACCTTTCTTTCACTCCTATCATGAGATATTTTATTTCTCCTTGGGAATCTGCATGCCACCCGAATTGGGTCATTATCCTTCATTACTCATTTAGAGAAATCTCTAGTAACTTTGTACACACTGAGCATCTCCCTTTCCGACGTCAGCTAAATCCAGCCTTTGTATAGTTAGAAAAATCATGAGTAATCTTGATAGTTCCCATGGGCCTTACGTATACCGTCTCTCTAATCCTTGTATTGATCCTGTGAACTGAGCCTTATTGAATCCATTTTAAATGAGAGTAAACTGAAGCCAGAGATTTGATGCGACTTGTCAGAGCTCTCCCGGCTGGAAGGTGGTAACCACAGAACTGGAATCGGGGATCCTGACTTGAAGCCCAGGCAGCCATGAATGGGGCATCCTTGGTACACCTTGCTTTCACTCCTATCATGAGATATTTTATTTCTCCTTGGGAATCTGCATGCCACCCGAATTGGGTCATTATCCTTCATTACTCATTTAGAGAAATCACTAAGCACCTACTATGGGGTGGACACTAGATCCTGGGGATAATATCAGTGGTGGCCAACCACACAGTGTCCATCAGAACATAATCACACAAAGCAGACCTGGATGGTGGCCCTGATATGCACTGTGAAGGGGAAACAGGAGCCGAAGGGGCTTGCCCAGGACCCAAGGAGAGCGTGCACAGCCTCAGTGTGAGCTCTTAGGAATCGCTGTTCTACCTGAGCCAGGCAGCTGTGGGCTCTTCCTTCACCACCCAGGGCATTTCTGGGAGGAGGTCACACAGTTTAGCGCTGTCTTGAGGCTCCTCTATTCTCAGGCCATGGCGATTGTGTTCTTTTCAGGAAATGATATGCTTTGGTGTTCCTGGAGAAAAGGTCTCCCGAGAGGTGGGGGCGGTAGGAGGGATACAGGGGTCCTGACCTGGAGCCAAGCAGCTGATTTAGAATGTTGACCCAGAGGCCTGCTCACTTCTCTCTGCTATTGCAGTTCGTGGTGGGCCGAGACGGCACCTGTGGCGTGGTGTGTGAACACTCCCCTTTCGACGGCATTGTCCTGGTGCAGTGCACGGAGCATCTGCTCAAGCACATGTGAGTCTGGGGGCAGGGCCCCTCCTGAGCCACTGAGCGGCCATGGGACGCAAAGCCAGATTCCCAGCAGTGGCCAAGCTAGGCCAAGAAAAATGTGGGTGGCCACTGAGGAGCTGCGTCAGTCTGGCATGTGTCCTAGCAAAAGACCAATTTGAAAACCAGCTTGAATGAGACATCGTATGCTTTATCGATCTTGGACAGAAGGGGCAGACTGAGCAACAAGTTTAGGGCAGTTAGGGCAATATTTGGCCAAGAATTCTCAGCTTTAAGGGAACATTTGCTCTGGTCCAGGGAAGCCCAGGTTGATGTCTATTGCCTGTCTGGAGTCGGATGTGGGCCCACTATTGACCCAGCACAGACAGGAGCTGTACCTGTTTCTCTCCTCTCAGCCTGGGTCTCTCTCCCTACCTTCCAAGGTCGCCAGACTGAGTACTTCTCTGTCCTTTAGATACACTGGGTCCCTTCCTCCATTCATGATTTTGCTCATTCTCTCCTCCTAGAATCCTCTCCCTGAATCTATTAGTTCTAAATCTCTTCCATGATTTAGGGACTCTGTGCGTGCATGTAAGTCACTTCAGTCATGTCCAGCTCTTTGTGACCCCATGGACTGTAGCCCACCAGGCTTCTCTGTCCATGAGATTCTCTAGGCAAGAATACTGGAGTGGGTTGCCATACCCTCCTCCAGGGGATCTTTCCAACTCGGGGACTGAACCTGAGACTCCTATGTCTCCTGTATTGACAGGCTGATTCTTTCCCACTAGAGCCATCTGGACTTCCCTGAAGGGATTCTTTAGGATCACTGAAAACCCAAACCAGCCCTCATTGACAGAAAAACAGTTTGCTAGTTCCATTTGTCCCCAAATGTGTGTGTTATTTTTTTTTTTTTTTAAGAGTTACTGGTGTAGCATGGTCAAACAGGAAAATGTGAAAAGAAATCCTGGGCTTTGCAGTCAGGTGGAATTGGATGGAATCCTAGCTCGGCCGCTCACTAATCTAGGTGTCCTCTCAGAGCTTCAGTCCATTCATCTGTGTCGTGGTTTGGGGGGCACACCAAACTCCAACAGCTAAGATGACTGCAGGGCAAAGAAATTGATTTAGGGACTCTGTGCGTGCATGTAAGTCACTTCAGTCATGTCCAGCTCTTTGTGACCCCATGGACTGTAGCCCACCAGGCTTCTCTGTCCATGAGATTCTCTAGGCAAGAATACTGGAGTGGGTTGCCATACCCTCCTCCAGGGGATCTTTCCAACTCGGGGACTGAACCTGAGACTCCTATGTCTCCTGTATTGACAGGCTGATTCTTTACCACTAGAGCCATCTGGACTTCCCTGAAGGGATTCTTTAGGATCACTGAAAACCCAAACCAGCCCTCATTGACAGAAAAACAGTTTGCTAGTTCCATTTGTCCCCAAATGTGTGTGTTATTTTTTTTTTTTTTTAAGAGTTACTGGTGTAGCATGGTCAAACAGGAAAATGTGAAAAGAAATCCTGGGCTTTGCAGTCAGGTGGAATTGGATGGAATCCTAGCTCGGCCGCTCACTAATCTAGGTGTCCTCTCAGAGCTTCAGTCCATTCATCTGTGTCGTGGTTTGGGGGGCACACCAAACTCCAACAGCTAAGATGACTGCAGGGCAAAGAAATAAGCTGCCCACAGGCCCCCAGCTTGCAGGGCCACAGGAGGTCACCCCATTGTCCTGCAGGGTGAAGACCAGCAAGAAGATGGTCCGAGCTGACTCGGTCAGCGAGCTCCCAGCACCCAGGAGGCTGAGGTGGAAATGCTCCCCGGAAATTCAAGGTCTCTTAGCCTCCTCAGCAGAAAAACTTCAACAGTAAGGAGAATCCCAAGTCTTTGGGGGTGATGCTCCAGGGGGGATCACCATACCACTCCCCCACCCTACCAGCTGCCAAGGTATCCTAGGAGCTTCCAAAGACCCCAACTCCTCTGCCTCCTCCCACCCGCCTCCGCCCACCCCCTTCATGGAAATGCAGTCAAACCAAAGGGGAGTTGTACCTCTCGGGGAAATAACCTTGCCAAAGTATCCTTCATTTCCATAAAATGCAAACATGCATCTATTTTTTTCCACAGGTTTCACCTGACTGAGCAGAGTCAAGGCGGGGAAATCATCTCCAGCTTCCGGGGGAGGAGGGGGGGGGTCCATTGCCAACTGGTTTGAATAAGTCATTTGAATCCAGGCGATTTCAATTTGCTTGAATTTACACTGCAACTGGACAAGGGGCCTTTTTTTCCCAAGGGCAGCCCTAACGGCACCCAGCAGGAGACCCCGGGGGGTGGGGGGTGTGAATATGAGCCCTTGCTAGCAGTTGCAAGGTGTGCTGGGAGCCATGGTCTGGCAACTAGATATGGACTTTGGCTCTTCATTCCCTCATTCAATAAATGAGCAGGAATGCATTCACTCATTCTTTCATTCATTTGTTCATCATACATGTGCAGAGCTCTGGTGTGTTCCAGGCCTCTGATAGGGCTCTGGGGACACAGAAATCAATGTGCCACTAATCCCACCCTCCATACTTTGGAGGAGGAACTGGATCCCCAAAGCAAAATTGTCAGATGCAATAAGCGCCCAAACCAGAGACAAGTATTTGGTTCTGAACCCACAGAGGACATTGGGGCTGAGTTCTGCCAGGAGGTGGAGCGAGGGCTTTGCAGAGATGGGCCTTGAAGGATAACTAGGAGTTCGTGGTGCCAGCAGCTGGGAAAGACACAGGAACCTAAGGTCAGGTTGTTTGGAGGCCAACAAGTGAGAGAATGACCAGAGCTGGGGCAATAAAGGGAAGCTGGGGTGACATTGCAAAGAACTTCATGTCCTTACATTATGGGCACTGGAAGCTGTGCTGCAGTGGTGAGGAACCCCTGGAGGATTTAGGGCATGGGGTTTCAGGGAACCAGTGAGGAGACTGTGGGAATAGCGTGGGTGAGCAGGACAGAGCGTGGCTGGGCTCAGAAGCCGAGGGATGGGGAGGGTGAGTCCACAGCGAGCTGCTGGAGGTGTTGACTGACTTTCCAGGGGGAGGAAGAGAGGCCTTAGGTGTTCATCTGTAACTGCTCATACCTCAACCCTATGGGGCTGCTCTTGGGACACGAAGGTGAGTGAGTTGGTGGGCTGGTGAGAGCTGGGCAGAAGAAAGAGTTGGCTTATTTCAGGGCTTCAGGCAGCTGTCATGTGGTCCCCAGAGCCCAGCTTTCCTTTCTAGACGACCGGAAGAGCCAAGAGAGGCCTGTGGGTGGGGAAGCAGGAGAAGCCGCGAGGTTCTGAACTGCCATGGAAGGTAGGTAGGGTCTGAGGGGCCAGGGCTTGGCCAAGAAGTTTCCAGGTGGCTGGGGTGACTGTGAGCTCAGCCTGTCCAGGGCAGTAGGTCAACAGGACAGACTGAAGGGTGAGTTCCCATGAGAACTGGGCCCTCTCTGAGTCCTGCTGGGTCCTCGGAACCTGGCATGGACCAACCGAGAGCTGAGCTCACATGACTGGAGGAATAATTCAAGGCAAGTCAGGCAGGGAACACCGAATCCTGAGGGAGGGTGGGAGCAGGGGTCAGGGCTGCCCACCCAGGGCTCTGCACACACACACACGTGCACACACACACACACACGTGCACACACATATACAAACATGGTTGGTGGCCAGATGGTGGGGACCTTGCTGCATGTTGCTCCTGCAAGCCGTCAGCCCGGACCCCAAACACATTACGAAGGAGACTGGTCAATATAGTGAGGGGAAGGGAGTGGGGAGACCAGCATTGAAGGTCTGTCTCAGTGTGGACTCAGGGAATCTTCCTTCTACTTGACAGTGATTTGTGGGCAGCAAGGGTCTAGGCATATCACAGGAGGCTCAGTATCAATTTATGGGTAAAATGGATTTTCAGTCACCAACAAAGCCCGGATGAGCAGCTTTAGCTGCGGTGACTGTGACCAGCAGCCAGGTCCCAGGCCTTTCTTCCCATATCACAACAGGGACAAGTCTCAGTGAGAGATGCTACTTGCAGCTGTCAGAGAAACAGGCTTTTCCCTGGACATGGTGGGTTGGCAGGTCTTGCAGGATGGCCAGGATGCCCAAAGAGTCCATGGAAATGCTGGACACACCTTCCCAAACAGGTCAAAATACATGGCCTCTATGAGGCCTACTTCTGAGGGCAATGAATTTCTAGGACTTTGTTTGTGGGCTGTGTTCTCCTTGCCCATGCAAATGACCCTTGTGCTTCTGTGTCCCTCCCTGAAGCCAGGCCCACCTCCCCCACCCACAGTACAGAACCACTGCCCTGTCCAGCCAAGCCTCGCCCTCAGTTCAGAGTCCTCCTAGTCGGCATGCCCTCTGCCACTTCCATACATCAAGGCCTGTCTCTGGCTGTGTCCTGGACACCTTACTGCTTTGACATGGACCAGGCTCAAGAAACTTCGTTAGAGTCTGTGGTGAGTGCATTCTATCTTGCATGCAGTGAAAGCTTCTTTCCTTTTTCTTCCACAGAATAGTAAAGAATCTCGACTTCACTGTTTGTAAGTTTGACAACTATGGGAAAACATTCATTAAGCAACAGAAATGCAGCCCTGATGCCTTTATTCAGGTGGCCCTCCAGCTGGCCTTCTACAGGTAAGCACAGCCTGCCCAGGGGGACTGACTGACGAGCTACTCTAGGGTCTAGAAGCATCTCTGAGGGAGGGATGACTCTCTGTGAGCCTAGAGAATGGGGGGTATGACCAGGGCAGGCTTCATGGAAGGACCCTGTCACCTAAAGCTGGCAAGCAATGACCCAGGGGCACAGAGTTCATGGTGGGGGGGTGGTGGTGGAGGGACGCAGAACTAACAAGGGCCAGGCAGGTGGTAAGGACATCTCGTGGTTTCCTCCTGATCTCAGCCAGCCCACCTGGGGCGCTGGCCGTGACCTGTTCCACCCAGTTTTCCTGGTCTTGACAAGGAGATGGAACTAGCATCCCTGCCCACCCCCTGGTGGGTCAAGTCAAACATTTGGGGCTTAACTGGTTTCCGTCGCTCATTCCCCTCACCCCACAGCAGTTCTCCTCCATCCTCTGCCCTCCACCTCCAAGCCCCCGCCACCTGATGTTTGGTCAACTGTAGCCTGCCTTTGCAGGTCCACTCTTGTCCCCAGTAATCCTGTCTTCATGAAGCATGAACTTTGAAATATACAAATCAGATTCCATCACCTACCACCTCGAACCCTCCCAGTGGTTTCCCATCATGCTTAGAACAAAGTCCAGGCTCAGAAAGGCTCTTTGTGAACCAGCCTTCCCGGGGCCCTGCCCCCAAGCTCTCTCCCACCTCCAGACCTTTGTGTTGTGCCAGTGTCTCTGCCCACCCACCTGTCACCGCCACTCTTCACACGCCAGCTCCTTCCTACAGCTTAGGTCTCAGCTCAGGCGCCAGCCCTCAGAGGCCACCTCGGAGCCTCTTGCCACCACTTCTCTGTTACAGCACGCTGCATTCTTTTTTCATTCATGGCAGTTGTTATGCATGTGGGCTCCCCTGTTCATGGATTCGCTGACTTTGTTTTCTAGACTGTCTCCCCCAGGCGTGATGTTCTTGGTTATCTTGCGTGCCTGGGACAGAGTAGGCACCAGGGACTGTCAGAGCCCTGAGAAGATGCTGCAGGGGTTTTAGCCTGCGGTGGCATGGTCAGTGTGTTGTTTAGAAAATTCCCTTAAGTGGTAGCTCTGGCCTGGGGAAGAGATGCAGAGTTGGGAATAAGGGTTGAAGACAGGGTAGGGAGCTGAATTGACCTTTTATGAGAGGCGAAAAATCATGCAAAATATATCTTCCTCAAGACAGGGCTGGCTCCTGTTGGTCCCAGCATCCCAGAAGCAGCAGCTCATAAACTAACACAGGTGCGATGTAATAAATAGCACCACACCCCCACCAGAACCTGCTTTTGGTCTGCAATCAGGACAGGCATAAAGTGACATGGAGAAGGCCCTGCAAGGAGGTATCACTAATGAATGGGTGGCATCCCAGACCCCAGTGTCCCTCGCAGGGGGTGTGACTCATGGGGGAGGGAGTGCAGCCACTCTGAGGGTCATCTGTCAGGTTGACATCACCCCACGCAAGGACTGTGCTCACCGCCAGGATGTGGAGACCTCGCTGGCATTGGGCTGTGGAAGGACCCAGCCTCTGGAACTGCAGTCAATGCCGTTCTGATACTCAGATGGCGTGTGGCTAAAATGGGCCATGAGGTCAGTGTCCTGCTAGTGCCATGGCTGCGGACACTGCTGCCCTGGTGCTCAAGCACTTCAAAGCTTCAGATCCAAATCCCAGAAGGGATGGGGACAGAGCCCCCTTCCTCTACCCTCCAGAGATCTTTGCTGTCACTGGACATGGCCAGGAATAGATGAGGCCAGAGGCTCCCAGGCTCATTGAATAGGCAAAATACCACCTGCTGCCTATGGAATGATTGCTTTGGAGTTTCAACTGTAACAAAAAAAATATATTTTTAATCTGCTTCTAGATTCAGCAGAAACCTGGAAGCTGCCTAAATTGGAGCTGATCAGCTACCAGCCAGTGATGGCGTCTACTTTTGTGCTCAGCAGGGTGTTTGCTCTGAGGGGCTGTAGAGATACAGGAAATGAGCTCCCTGCCAGAGTCTTGGGGGCAAATGAGACATGAGTACAGGAAGTGCCACTTTCTTGGCAAGTTGTAGTGTCAAGCACTGTACCCAATCAGACTCTCGATTCCCCACTCCTGGAACTCACCCAGGGCGAGGGAGACTTGCCTGAAGGAGGCCAAGATACAAGGCCACAACATGCTGTGACTTTGGGCTGCCACTGCCCCTCTCGGAGCTCTGTGTCTTTCCCGTCCCTGACCCCTTAACACCAACAGCTTTACTGACTGGCGAGAAAGGTGTTTGCCAGCCTGGTATGCAAGCCTGAGGGTACTCGCTTAGTTTGCATATCTCAGGAAGGAATATGCTCTGACTGGTGGGGCCAGGGGTCACAGATGTGAGGAAGGAGAAACACAGCCCTGGTACCCATGGGTCACTTTGGAAGCAATGCTACTTCTGGATGGTGGGCCTGTGCAGCAGCTGGCACCCATGGCCACTAAGGCCCCCTCCCTGCCTCGATCCATAGGTCATGCTTGAATTGTTTTTAAATAAAACAGGATTCCCTCAAGAGTGGGAATGATGAATTATTCCACGCTGTGCTATTAATCACTCACTCACTGGGTCTTGCAGAAAATTCTAGGTTTCCCACCAGATTGGGACTTTAAAAAAAAAACAAACAACTACCAGTCATGTCTCCCTTATATTTTATATCCACACAGTATCACCCACGCAGGAAAGTGTGCTCAGCTCTTCATATCAGAGGCTCCCCAGTGTTCATCTTTGGGGAATCTCCTCCAGAATTCTATTAGCATTAAAATGAAAGACTGTGCCGAGCGAAGGCAGGACTGTAAAAATAAAGGCAGGCGAGGCTATTTTTCCTTCAGCATTTATGACTCCCTGAGAAGGCAGCACTGTCTGCCATTCCTCCTTCATCCTGTGCAGGCTCCACGGGAAACTCGTGCCCACCTACGAGAGCGCGTCCATCCGCCGGTTCCACGAGGGACGGGTAGACAACATTCGATCGGCCACTCCGGAGGCGCTGCGTTTTGTGAAAGCCATCGCTGACCACCACACAGCCGCCGTGCCGGTGAGTCTTGCTGGCCTGAGGGGTCTCAGGGAGGTCAGTGGGGCAGCTGTGGGCCGCCTGTGGCTCAGCCCCGGGACACCCAGCTCCTTTGGCTGCTCTGTACCCGAGCAGCCTCTTAAAGCCCCGTGCACTGCGTCTCTGTCCATTTACAGGGTTCGGAGAAGCTGCTGCTCCTAAAGGATGCCATCCGAGCCCAGACGGAGTACACAGTCATGGTGAGTGACCTCGCCTGCGCTCACGGCCCCGGCTGCGCCCAGAGCTGGGGCCTCAGCACAGACTTGGGGTGACAGCTGGACCACCTCCTATGCAGCGACTTGGTGAGGCCACCTTGCCTCTCAGAGCCTCCTCTTTCTTATTTTTAAAAGCTGGGTAACACAGCACTCCTGCTTTTTACATGGAATTTACAGGAATACAATGAATGGTCTTTGAAACAACACCAGTAATAATAGCACCAACATGTAAAGCACCTTACAGTTTATATAAGAGAAGGCAGACGTATGTGGTTCATGCAGTCTCAGGTGAGGCAGTGTTTATTCCCACCCAGGGCTGTTTCTGCCTTCTTATTCTCCATGTATTTATTTATTTATACTGCTTGTGAATAAAAAGATTTTTTTGCTGAAAGTTAATGGTGAAATTGAAATGGTAAGGGAAATGCTTTCCTGGGTTAGGAAAATAATATATTTTCTGGCACTGCAAAGCCATTATTTGCATACAAACCAAAAATAAGCTACTGCTTGGACTGGTGATCAATATATTAATTGTGAATCATTCTGATACAGTCTTTGAAGGATCATACAATCTATGAAAAGGAGTTTACTTTGTATTTACTTTGTTTACTGTCTATGTATTTGAAAGCAAGCACAGCATAGATCTGGGTTTTAGAACTAGCCAGTATAGACTTTTGGAGAAGGCAATGGCACCCCACTCCAGTACTCTTACCTGGAAAATCCCATGGACGGAAGAGCCTGGTGGGCTGCAGTCTATGGAGTCGCGAAGAGTTGGACATGACTGAGCAACTTCACTTTTACTTTTCACTTTCATGCACTGGAGAAAGAAATGGCAACCCACTCCAGTGTTCTTGCCTGGAGAATCCCAGGGAAGGTGGAGCCTGGTGGACTGCCATCTATGGGGTCACACAGAGTCGGACACGACTGAAGCGACTTAGCAGTAGCAGCAGCAGTATAGGCTTTTCTCCAATTCAGTTGCTAGGTCCCTGATTCATCTGAATAGGTGTTTGTTCTGTTTGGGGAAAATCAAGCTTGCTCTCATGTCTTCCGTGGGTATCCTTTGTTTTTCTGCTCTATGCCAGGCAAGGCATTAGGTGCTGGCAAATGAAAAATGAAGCCCTATCCTTGGGGAGTTCACTATGTAGTAGGTAAAAGAGGCCTTAAGTATTTCAGGAAGTAGCAGAGAACATGGAGGAATAACTTCCTTCTGCTTGGGAAAGCCAGGTGAACTCCCCAGAGGAAGTAGTGCTTCATATGAGGCTTAAAGCATGAAGTATTTGTCAGGTAGATGTAGAAGGGAAGGATGGCCCTAGAAGGGAACGGCATAGGCAAAGACAAGGGCTTACAAATTTTACTTATTAAGCTCTCTTTCTAGTAAAGCTATTGGAGGATGTAGACCACTAACATAAGAGAATAAAACACACAAAAAGAAAATCATAGACTTAAACATCAGAAGATGCAACACCAGAAGGAGGTCAAGAAAAGGATGAGAGCAAAGGGAGGTCTCAGTTGACGGCTGTTCTGCAGACCCAGGGAACAGTCAGTCCACAGAGAAGCAAGAAGTGAAAGGAGAAATTAAACTGATAAATTATCTGATACATTTTTATGCATTAAGGGGAGTTTTACAGTTCTGGCTGAGGATTTACGAATCAATAAATTGTAGATACATAGAAAGGTAGGCAAGTAGGAAAATCATAATTTAATCATTTGCAAACTGTCGATTCCAGGGAACACGAAAAACTGATTAAGAAAGGAAATCTAATCCTAACACATGCAGGACTCAGGACTCAGCTGTGAATACTTGCATAATTATAGCCATGTAAACACTGAATGTTGATCAAGTGACAAGGAGTTCAAATCTAACTCTGTTGGAAGCATAGGGGAGTGGAAGTATATTTGGGAAGGAGGGTATCAAAGAGCCAAAGTTTCATCTTCTATAATAAGGAAATTGAAAAATGCAGTAGCAGCAGTCTAAGCATATTATTCAGAACTAAGAAAGTCAGTAGCTAAAAGAGTTCCAAGTGATTGCTTCTATGGAGTGGGACTCAGTGCTGGCAAAGTGATGTAAGTCTTTGGCTTATTTGGTTTTTTTTTTAAACTATAAATATACAACTTTGATAATCATTTAAAATTTTATGAAAAATTTAGGAAAATATTCTCCAAAGCATTGCCATAGGGTTCTGCTGTGTTAACTATTTTAAGTTGGTGAAAACAACTCAATAAAAGAGATCAGGGATGGGGAGAGGAGAGCCATAAAGATGCTTTGTAGGTCCCTGGTTGGCTGTGCGGGGTAAGGGACAGAGAGGAAACCAGGAAACCTCCATGTATCTGGAAAGTATATTTGGTAGAGGTTGTGGAGAAAGGAAATTCCAAGGAAAGGAGCAAATGTGGTCCAGACACACTGTCACATCCTCTCATAGCACCGTATGCTTCTCCTTCCTAGTATTTACTCAGTTTATGATCACAAGTTGATTTGTATGGTTGGTTAATATGTCTCCCACCCCACCCAAGGCTCCATGAGGCTGAGTCTGTGACTGCTTTGTTCTCTAGCAGCTTCTCAGACACATAGTAGGCACTCAGTTAAGGTTCTTGAATGAACAAAAGACTGGATGTTGAGTCATTTTGCTCATTACTACTCATGGCTCTGATCCAAAGAGTCTGTTGAATCAACCCCAGTTGCTACAGTGACTTCAGAGATGGTGAAATGGGGGCTGCTGTTCAGAGTAGCTGCTTTGATAGATCTACACAAATCAGTCATTAAATAGAGGCAACCTGAGAAATTAAAAATACATCTACTTCATAACTGGCCTGTCTCACAGATCTTCACCTCTGTCCTAACGGGGCATGTCCAAAGTGAGTGGTGATTGTATAACATATCTTTTCAGCCTATGATTAGGTGTGTTTGGAGAGACTGGGGTCCCTGAGTCATCTTTATGCATCCATTCTCAACTGAAAGAGAACAGATATCAAATTCCAAAACATGCCTTGTAAACCTGAACAAAATTCACCGTGGTAGAAGATTTCCGCCTACGTGGGGCGTTGTTAACAGCTAAGTGGCCATCTTATGTAACCGTGAAACCCCTAAGAATTACTCACGGGTACCCTGATGTTGATCCAAAGGCCAGAGGAGGGACTTCCCTGGGGGCACAGTGGATAGGAATCCACCTGCCAATGCAGAGAACACGAGTTCAGTTCCTGGTCCGGGAGGATTCCACATGCTGTGGAGCACCTAAGCCCATGCGTCACAACTACTGAGCCTGTGCTCTAGAGCCCGTGAGCCACAACTCTGAGCCCACGTGCCGCGACTACTGAAGCCCACGCACCCTAGAGCCTGTGCTCTGCCACAAGGGGAGCCACCGCAATGAGAAGCCCGCGCACCACAAAGAAGGTAGCCCCCGCTCACTGCAACTAGAGAAAGCCCACAGAAAGCAACAAAGATGCAGCATGGCCAAAAATAAAATAAATACATTCTAAAAATTATTTTAAAAGAAAGAGTAGCCCATGCGTCACAACTACTGAGCCTGTGCTCTAGAGCCCGTGAGCCACAACTCTGAGCCCACGTGCTGCAACTACTGAAGCCCACGCACCCTAGAGCCTGTGCCCTGCCACAAGGGCAGCCACCGCAATGAGAAGCCCGCACACCACAAAGAAGGTAGCCCCCGCTCACTGCAACTAGAGAAAGCCCACAGAAAGCAACAAAGATGCAGCATGGCCAAAAATAAAATAAATACGTTCTAAAAATTGTTTTAAAAGAAAGAGGCCTCCAGGTCTCCATCAGCCACACAAATTGCCCCAATCAAACATGTAATCCATGCAAAACCCCTGTGCCTGCTGCATGCAGCCTCCCGTGGGGAAGACAGAGAAGACTGCCCTGGTTCCACTGTCCCCTTCCAGCCACACCACCACCCCTGAGCTCCTCCTACATAGGAGTCTTCCACTGCTATTCTCTTATCCTTTGATAAGATTTCAAATACCTGTGACAAAAAGAAAAACCCTTTCTTCATCCAACAACCCTTGAAAATGTGAGCTGAGCCTCTGCTAAGCTGTCTAGCTCCTGTCTCAAAATTACTCTTAGATTATGAGTCCAGTTTAGTTGAATTGATTCTGAGCCTGTGAAACAGCAGCCAGGATTCAAGGACACCTCAGCACCCTCTGCCCCTCTTTCCTTGGGCTCCTGCTGGAGGATGAAGTGTTGGTTGTGGTGAAAACCCATCCAGTGACAGCCTGGGGTACCCCTCCCAATGCTTGGATGGGTTCCAGCCAGCACCTGTGCTCCTGCCCAGCTTCTCCCGCCGAAGAGGTACCCAGGAGAGCCAAGCCAGCCCTGCTGTTTCTCCAGCCCTGCTGGTTTAGGAGATGCAGGCCCAGCGTCTCCTAAACCAGTGCTACAGCCTTGTTCTGTTGGAGGACCGCTGACACAAAAACAGAGCATGATCAGTTAGAGAAAGGCAGCCATTTAGGAACATGAGGGGTTATACATGCTGAACATCGGCAGAGACCATGCTGTTGGGGGGCAAGGAGTCAGACTCACCAGCTTTTAACTCTGGCATCCTCATCTAGAACCCAACCTGCTCTGGCTCATCCTGTGTGTGAAGAAATATACAAGAAGCAGAGGCCATGTAGGACAGTGCTCGGTCCTGGGCAGCTGCCACACATGGACGTGGTTCACAGCAAGCACTGGGTGGGCAAGGGCCATCAGTGTCCCCACGAGCTTTGCAGACTAGAGAGGAGGGAAGGAGGGGAAGCCTGTGTCTCAAGTCCTGTTCTCTGTCTCAGGCCATAACAGGGATGGCCATCGACAACCACCTGCTGGGGCTGCGGGAGCTGGCCCGGGAAATGTGCAAAGAACTGCCCGAGATGTTCACGGATGAAACATACCTGATGAGCAACCGGTTTGTCCTCTCCACCAGCCAGGTACTGCCCCAGTGCAGCCAGCACCCGAGAGCACTTAGTGGAAGCAGTGGGCTTTCTCACAAGCTGGCTGATTATAGCCCACTGCTTGGAATCAGCCCGGTCCTGGCTCTGCTTCCAGTGAACTGCATGCCCTTCAGCAGAAGGACCGAAATGCTCAGAGTGCTGTTTCCCCCATCTTCTAAATGTGCACAATCACAAATGCCTCCTTAGCAGAGGTGGGCAGGATGGGAGAATTCCCACTCTGGTGCCCTAACCATTAGGCATACTTCTTCCAGTGTTGCCCAAGAGGTGGTGTCCTACCATGGTGACCATGGGCCCAGAGGCAAGTCCTGGCTCAATCAAATGCGATGATGTAGGTGGAAAGCCCAGACCCCCAGTGCTTGGCACAGACAGGGTCCTCCAAGCAGGTCACAGACCTCATCGTAAGGGGCCACTGAAGGCCCGGCATCTCCTAAACCAGCGCTACATCCTTGTTCTGTTGGAGGAGCACTGACACAAAAACAGAACACGATCCGTTAGAGAAAGGCAGCCATTTAGGAGAGAAAATACCTACACCCTCTCCCCCTAACCCGCCCCGCAAATGTCAGTTTACTAAAACTCCACCTCATCTGCAAAAGCAGAACGTGGGCAATAAAAAGGGCTGATAAAGTTGTGTTTGAGGATGAAAGCCCACTCAGTAATTTCATTTTGTCATTACGGCAGTGAGCTTGCAGACGTGAATAAACGAGGACAGAACACAACAACATAAATTCTTCAGGAAACCATCCATGGGCAAAAAGTGCTTCGGAACGGCTTTATGGCCTTCGGCTGTTGCACGGCAAATTTATCTGACAATGAGGTGACTCTATTAGCAAGACTAATGGTCTGTTCTGCCCCATTAAAATGGCCAGTGTCATTTCTGAAGGCCTGAGCACACAGAGCCTGTGGGTTTAAAACACACACCGCGCCCTGCACCTGCTCAAGAACGTGCTCCATTTCCCCTCTAAAATCAGCTAATACAAATAATTCAGGGTGTGGTGGTATTTTTTCCTCCAACTGGAATGAACATTGATGGCTTCAATGCCTTCAGAAGCACTTTTTCTTGGCTTGTGATCCGGATTACAAAATCGCAACCCTCTGAATTCAAAATGTAGCAGGTACATAACTAAAAACTCCAGTTGATGGCAATCTCTGAAATGCCCAATGCTGGGTAATTGTGCGTGACCAGGCTTCGGGGAGAAAAGCAGACCAGTCAGGCAATACTGACAGTAATTAAGGATGTGGGAAAAAATCGACAGAGACGAGGAGCCAGATTTCCTCCAGTTCATAAATTACTCCCTCTGGGAAGCCATCTAACTGTTGGGTGCCACCAGGGTGCGATTTAGTAAATTGCTCTGATTGCCTGGGTGATTCAAACAGCCCCCAGGTGAAGGAGAGATTCGGCCCAGCACCGGGTCACTCTGGGAGCTTCCGACTCCACGAGTAGAGCAGATTTCACACCAAGGAGGGGCTATGGCCTCTCTTCTGATTCATGCAGTTAGATGGGTTTGTTTTGATGACTCTGGCTGTGGCCATCCATGATGAAGCAATCAGTTGATGTGGTTAATTCAGTCATACACCCAGGTGGGAAATAGTCAAAGAGAATCAAGTATCTCATTGAGGCCCCTGGACTGCTGGAACATCATTCTTTGAGCAGACTTTCAGCACAAGCAACTTCTGACCTGTCCTCTCCTCCAGGTACCCACCACCATGGAGATGTTTTGCTGCTATGGTCCCGTGGTACCCAATGGGTACGGTGCCTGCTACAACCCCCAGCCAGAGAGCATCCTTTTCTGCATCTCCAGCTTCCACAACTGCAAGGAGACATCATCAACCAAGTTTGCAAAAGCTGTGGAAGAAAGCCTCCTTGAAATGAGACGCCTCTGCAGTCTGCCATTGTCTGCCACAGCCAAGTCTCCGGCGACAAAGGAAAAAGTAACAAGGCCCAGTCAGGGGCACCAACCTTGATGGCTGCCACCACGTTTCAACTCCTCAACCCAGCATTCTGCAGCTGCCAGACCCCACCGAACCCCTTGCTCCCAGCCTTCACCCCAGCTTTCTGTAGCTTCCCTATAACTGCAGACCCAGCACAGACCACAGTGAGGCATCACACAAAACTGGACTGGTAGGAGGAACGCATCCCTCATGAGGCATGGGAATCATCATTATTTATCGAGGTGTCCTCGGGCCTGTGTGCTGGGAAATAAGACCAGCCTGGCTCTGAGGTGGCCCGGGTGAGATGGGGAAGCCACCACTGACTTCCCTCCATAGCCACAGAAGCTCAGTATTGGTGTGTGCTTCCCAGCAGGACCTAGCATGTCCAATGAAAGAATGAGTCACCTTATTATGTGCAATATACCCAAATGAACCATGAAGGAAGAGGCTAACCCCAGGTCATTGCCTGTGTCTCTTGGGGAAGAGTAGAGGGCTTTGTTTTCAGATTCAAAGCAGTTTGATCATGGCATTCAGAGTGACCCGCCCTGAGACACGTGGCCCTATAAGCAGTACCCACCCCCGACACACACACACACACACACACACACGGCCCAAGTTAATTTAAAATACAGTGATCTGGGCCTGCAAACACATTTCTCCTTTTGCCTCCCAGAAGCAGGCTTCTACTGAGTTCAGAAAATCTGGTCTGGCTATTCTGAAAGGGGAAGAAAATGGTCTGCCCTTGCCCTGGAGTAGCTGCTGCTCCCTGGTTTCCCTGGGGGCCTGGCAGGGACCGGTCCACCTCCCCAGGGATCCTGCTGCTTGCATTTTTTCTGGTTGCGTTCCCACTGGCCTTCACAAGAAACATGCCCTGATAGGTGATCTGCCTTTGGGAGGAGAGCAGGATGCTTCAGGGGTTTTCTGCTGCTCTTGTTTACTTGTTTTGTTTCGTTCATTCTTAAGAGAGGCTTTTAAGAAAAGCACAGTGACATTAATTTCAGAATACGATCTCAGTGGCCTAAGCTGGACATCCTTGGACAGCTGGGCTACTTTATGTAGCGGATGTTATCTAGGGATTCTGACTGAAATGCATGTGGAGGAGCCCAAATCAGAGCTCTCCACTGGCCTGGGGGCTGAGGGCACAGCTGGTGAAGAGAGGGGCTGGGAGGAGGGAATGGCTGCACACAGAGCCAGCCCTGATGGAGGGGCCAGCCGTCCACAGAACTGAGCTGAGGATGTCTGGGGAGGCAGTGATCATGGAGGAGATGTGAGAGGCACTTTCTGCTAGGGCATATTTTTATGGGAAAGCAACCAGAAAAAATCAAAACTGCAAATAGCCAAGGCAGCCTGCTTTTGTCCAGAGGAGGTGCAGAACTGGGCTCCAATCACACTGAGTTCTGCCATGCTTCCTGTGGGTTTTCCTAAAAAGAGAAAAGCCCTCTACTCCCGCAAAGACACGAGGCAATGACCTGCCTATCCTACTCTGTCACACCCTCCACTGTGGCCCAGGGACCATGAATGTCTCTTCTTTGGAGCACTGTGCAAGCTCTCTGCCCTTTGACTAACATAGAAACAGGCAGGGCTGAGATGGGGGGAACATTTTGACCTTTGCTGGGACCTTTGATAACATAGACAACCCTAAGCTGTAAATTCCTTGAGCCCCTGGTTTTAGGTTGAGAAGTTCTATTGTATGATCTGGGCGATTCTGGCACTGCCCCTTCAAAATCATTGGTCTGCAGGGTCCATGCTACTTCCCTCACACATCCACCTTTCTGCTCCCCCTGGAAAAGTACAGCCCAAGAGTCCCAGGAATGTTTGGGGAACTGCTGTCCACCTGCTGTAAGCTGACTCAAAGCTGCCTGCGGTTTCCAGCAAATGATCACAGTGAAGATCCAAGTTCTCTTCTGGTTTCTCTCCAAAAATTTCTGGGCAGATAGACAGCTCTGGTTTGGGGATCAGGCAGCCTCATTGGTCTTGGCCAAGAGACTTAAAAAGCCCAGAGACTCAAGTTCTTCCATCATCAAATGGGGACAAGAGCGTCCCAGCCTTGTGAGGTTGTCAGGATGGTAGATCACATGTGTAAAGGGCCTTTGAGCAGGTGGGCACTGGTGCCCGCTGTCGGGATGATGTTACCCCAGCAGGCACTGTTCAGGTGATGTTTATTTCAGACTTTCTCTCAAACACTCACTTGTCAGAACCAAGCTCACATTTGCCTTTTTCTGAGCTTAGGGGAAGGAAACTGACTGTGTATTCTGATATCAACCATGTGTGGATGGCAGACGTTTGACAGGAGGGAATAGCTCCTCCCTCCCTCCAAGGGAGGGGCTGGAAGCTGGTCTTCCCCCTCCAAGTTCAGGTGGATACAATGAGCCTTTGTAAAGGCAATGCTGAGCCATGGCCATGGCCACCTCTGTGGGGACCCTGGTAAAGGAGACTGTCCCAAGAGTCCTCAGAGAGATGGAAAACGAAACTTAGAGACTCAGATTTGGGGGGACAATGATGCATAATAAAAATGTATGTGGCCACCTTACCATACTGCTAAGTTGCCAAAATATATAAAGTTGATATTTGAGTTCTATTTTTATAAAACAGTTCTAGATTTATGGCAATATGTACATGTGTATTTATAGCCTTTTGATTTTAAGTTATAGTTTTGTGCTTTAAAGAAATATATGTGTGACTAAAGAACTGTATATTGAAAGCACTATATTCAAATTATTTAAAGACTGTAAGTCTATATTCAATAAAAAGTAATGCCAAGAAAGATGGCATTGGCTGCTGTTTCTACCCAGAAATGCTATAAAAAGTTGTGTAGTAAATTCTGTCAGCTGGGTCAACAATTCATTCACCTTTGTCTGAGGTCTAACAACAGCAGCAGTGGATGTCTAAAAAACAGGATCTGGGAGAGAAAGAGCAGGAAAGAACTTAGTTTCTCCTAGTGTGTGGCATGTATAGCGTGAGGGACAGAGAGGTTTCATGGGGTATTTGTGATCAGGTTGGGTATAGAGATGGGTGTCTCCACTTAAGTCTGTAAGAACATGCATACACAGAATGAAGTGGAGGGAAAAGCATCAGGTTTGGAGGTGGGATGCCTAAACTACAGACACAGCTCTAGCTCTAATGGCAAGACAGAGTGACTTTGGGGAATGTCACTTTCACCTCTCTAGCCCTCAGTTTCCTCATCTGTAAAATGGGAATATTGATATCAGCCCTACCCATTTCCAGGGTTGTGGCAAAATGACATACGATGGTCATTGTTCAAAAACTTAGAAGTGATGTAAAAATTTGACATTCTTATTACAGGCTCACAAGTACATGTGCACATACTTCCTGAACCCTGCATGGCCCTGCATCCTGCACAGATATATTCCAAACTGCAAAACCCCCTCCACAACCCCAAGAATCCACAGAACTGAACATGCATACACAGAATGAAGTGGAGGGAAAAGCATCAGGTTTGGAGGTGGGATGCCTAAACTACAGACACAGCTCTAGCTCTAATGGCAAGATAGAGTGACTTTGGGGAATGTCACTTTCACCTCTCTAGCCCTCAGTTTCCTCATCTGTAAAATGGGAATATGGATATCAGCCCTACCCATTTCCAGGGTTGTGGCAAAATGACATACGATGGTCATTGTTCAAAAACTTAGAAGTGATATAAAAATTTGACATTCTTATTACAGGCTCACAAGTACATGTGCACACACTTCCTGAACCCTGCATGGCCCTGCATCCTGCACAGATATATTCCAAACTGCAAAACCCCCTCCACAACCCCAAGAATCCACAGAACCTGAACTGTTGTTGTTATTGTTTAGTCACTCAGTCATGTCCAACTTTTTTGCAACCCCATGGATTCTCCAGGCAAGAATACTGGAGTAGGTGGCCATTTCCTTTGATCCCCCACCCTAGGATCGAACCTGAGTCTCCTGAATTGGCAGGAAGATTCTCTACCTGGGAAGCCTGAACCAGAACCAAGATCCCTCCAAATAGAAGCCCAAATGCTTTCTGATCAAAGCCCAAAAGGAACCTTCAAGTGTGTGAATTTGTGTGATTGGGATGCAAAAGAGGCATTATCCACAAAGACAATGGCTTAGAATATTCCAGGAGCAATGGAGGGGATACGAAGGAACAGGATGAAAGTAATGTGGCTTTGCTCTTGTTGGCCCCAACATAACCAGATGTAGGTGACAGAGAAGAGTAACAACAGGCAAGCCAAGCCCCAATGAGCAAAATAATGCCACTCCCCTCCTGTTCATCTGAAGGTCCTGGGAGGTGGACATTGGTACATTCAGGTAGAAATGTAAGGAGGAGTCCCTCCCAGGTTCACAAGAGCAACCACGAGTTTCCAAATTATGCCTAAGCAGCTCCCCCTGGGGGCAGAGGGAGAACCAGTACCTTGGCTTCCCTTTATGAATTGAGGCAGCCTCTCAGCTTTTCTGTTTCTCTGAGTTTTCCTTCCACAGCAGCCTCTTGAGTCTGCAGGGTGAACAGTGTGGCATCTGAAGGGAAAGGGGCCCTCATATCACAAGAGAGGACCTTTCTCAAAGCCCTGTTCACCCTTGTATCCTAAGAACCAGCTCTCTCTTTGTTCTCTTCCACTGCTTCTTCCATCTCCTCGTGGGATTTCACTTCCTATTTCTGTTCCTTTCATGTCATTGGATCCCAAGTTTCTGTCCTTGGTCTCTATCTCTTATATTTAAGAAATTGCAAAACAGCAGGCTGAACTGATAGAGAAGGGTCGCTTCCACCTGTAAAAACATACACACAAAGAGTAAAAAAATTTTAAACACATGGTCAAGTTCAAAAGAAAGAAAATAAACCCAAATTCTAGGGGGGGNGAGCTATGAAATAGATTCATTTAACATTGCAAAGAAATAAAATATATGAAAAAGGGAGAGAATAGGGGAAAGCACTATTTAAAGAGAAAATGGCTAAGAATATTCCAGAATCCAAAAAACACATCACTCTAAAACCCATGGTCAAAAAAGAAATAATAGTGGATATTTAAAAATATTTAGAGCAAGAAAATAGAGATAACTCATATCAAGACCTCTGGGATAGGAACTTCCCTGGCAGTCCAGTGGTTAAGACGCTGTGCTTCAAATACAGGGGGCCCAGGTTCAATCCCTGGTTGGGGAACTAAAATCAGATAAAATAGATGAATAACAAGGATTTACTGTATAGCACAGGAAATTATATTTTTTTAAAAAGCCTCTGAAATACAGCAGAAGTGAGGCTTTGAGGGAAATTCATATTTACAACAGAAAAAAGGAAAGAGGAAAGACTGATGAGTTAAGATAACTTAAAAAAGTAAGAAAAAAGACCAAACAGTAGACTCAAAGAAAGTAGAAGGAACAGTAAACTCAAAGAAAGCAATAAAGACAAAAACAGCTATCAATGAAAGAAAAAACAACAGAGAAGCTAAATAATGAAAAAGTTGGTTCTTTTAAACTTTTCAACTTTGAAATCAATCTTTTCAAAGACTAACAAAATAGACAAGTCACAGGTAAAACCAATAAAATTAAAAGATAAGGTCAGAAATAAGCAATATTATGAATAAAAACTGACATAACCACAATAAAGTAGATAATAAAAAGATGGCAAAAATACATCAACCTGTTTATGTCAAAAATGTCAAAAAACTCAGATTGAAATTTTCTTATAAAAATATAATTAATTAAGACTGATGTAAGAAGAAATAAAATTTCTGGATAGTGCTTTAATCTTAAACTGAAGTGGTGATTTAAAATCTTCCCACTCAGGGGATGAATAATAAAAAATTAATAGAAATCATAAGAAATGGTTAAGGTAGCTACATAAGATCAATATATAAAAGTCAACTTCATTTTATACAACAATAAAACCACAATGCTAAATACATGACTTAGGGAATTCCCTGGCAGTCCAGTGGTTAGAACTCAGCACTTTCACTCATGGGGATGAGTTTGATCCCTGGTCAGGGAACTAATATTTCACAAGCTACATGGTGTGCCCCCCCCCAAAAAAAAGAAGAAAAAATACATGACTTGCAATAAATCTAACAAAACACATGCAAAACCATACATAGATAATGATAAACACTTAAAGGCATTGAGGAAGATCTAAATAAAGGAGAGGCGTGTGTGTGTGCACACGTACTTAGTCATGTCTGACTCTTTTTGACCCCATAGGCTGTAGCTCGTCAGGCTCCTCTGTCCATGGGATTTCTCAGGCAAGAATACTGGAGTGGGTTGTCATTTCCTACTCGAGAGGATCTTCCTAACCCAAGGATCTGTCTTTTATGTCTCCTACATTAGCAGGTGGGTTCTTTACTAGCATCATCTGGGAAGCCCCATAGGAGAGAGATTTCAGTATGATATATACGAAGGCCTCAGAAACATTCAGTTTTCCCCAAGTTGATCTCTAGAGTCAATGCAACTCCAGCAAAATTCTCAATGGGAGAATTTCTGTTTCTGATTACAATAGAGTAGTTTAATTCAGACTCTGACTCCTACATAAGATATCTTTAAAAACCTGGCATATATATTTTTAAAATCTTCTTGAAAATCATAAAAGAGCTAGCTGGATTAAGATCAGGGAGAGAATGAGAGCAAGCATAACACTGAGATGCTTTTTCTCTGGAGCTATCTAGTGATCTTGAATAGGCAACCTAAAAGATGAGATGCAATTTTGAGTTTGCAGAGTTAGGCTTCCAAAAACTGGAGTATTAAACACCACCAAATGAATCTTGGTAAGCCACCACCCTCATTGGGCCAGGATCCAAAAAGACTGCACCATAGAAATGAGGAAAACAATATAAATAAACCAACCTCCACATGGACTGCAGCCCAGTTTCAGGCCATCTGGATGGCTAAGCAAATCTCAAACCCTGAAATTGTATTAAGATGATCCTGGGTTGCTGGTGCTACCAGGCCCTGGCAAGAAGTGAAAAATAAAGTCTTCCATAGAGGAAAATAACATCATGCTTGGCCTCAAATTATTTCTACAAATAATTTTTCTAATACAGTGTCCAGTACACAATTAAAGTAAACCAAGCACTATAGGAGACAAGACAAATCGACAGAAACTAGCAGAAATAGCAATAGAAATAGACACACAGGGTCTCCAGATAGTGGAATTCCCAAACACAGAGTATAAAACAATTATTTTTATAATGATCAAGAAGATAATACCAGGCCTAAAAAACTTGGCAAGAAACTCAACTGTATAAAAAAAGTGGCACAGCAAATTTGAAAAGTAACTAAACTATAATTCTAGTGTTGAAAAATAAACAGCTGAAATAATGAACCAGATTGATGGGTTTCATAGCATTTAAGACACAATTGCAGAGAAAATTAGTAAACTGGATTACAAGCAAAAATAATCATGTGTATACACACACACATGCAATCCCAAAAGAAGCATGGAAGGAAGAAAAGCACAGGAAAGGAGACAGTGAGAATAATACAGTGGGAATGCAATGAGAATACGTTGAGAAAGTGTAACATACATTTAACTGGAGTCCCTGAAAAGTGAGTAAATGGGACAGAAGCAATATGTGAAGAGATAATGGCTCAAAATTTTCCAAAACCAGATGAAAGACTTAAATTCACAGTTTCAAGAATTCCAACCAATACCAGGCTAGAGAAATAAAAAGACATTATACATACCTTACAAAGGGTTTCAATTTATACCACATGCCTGACTTGCCTGGGAAGGTTACTTGGCCTTTCCAAGCTTCTGTTTTGTAAATACAAAACATAACCTACTTCATAGGAACGGCAAAATGATTAAATGAGGTAACATGGAATGTGCTTAGCTTGTCGCCTGACATAAACTTTCTGTAACTAGCTGTATATGTTGTTAACTGCTATTATTTATCATTAACGCTTGCCACACCAGGTTGAAATACCGTGTTTACCAGCTTGTGAGGGTTGCGAGAGCAAGTGGTTCCGACATCACTACATTTTTTTGCACCTCAAAAGTAGGCACACAGTAGGTGCAGGCATTCAGGATTCCTCATCTCCAGTCCCCACGCGAGGCCCTTGGTTGGTGATTTGGGGTGCAAATCCTCCAACTCCACCCACAACCTCCGTGGCTCCGCCCACCCACGCATGACCACGCCCACCCCCTCCGAAGGCCAGAAGAGCAGTTGCCTAGCAGTGTGTATTGCGCTGTAACCCCAGCAAGAGTCCTGGCCATGCCCAAGAACGCGCAGGTCATCATGCGCTATGGGCCATACAGCTCAATCGGTCTGTCAGTGGAGCACCGCACCTATCGCCTGGAGGGCCTGCTAGGTAGGCAGCTGAGCGCCAAAGGGCCGTCCAACTGCATGTGCTCGGGTGCACCCCAGCCTCTGAACATCTGTGCAGGCTGTGCCCTCTGCCTAGACTTCCTTCCTTCCTACTTTCTCTGGAAATCTTCCCTGAACCCCTGCTGCCTAGTATTAAGGGGAGAACAGACATTCATGGCGAGCCCACTGGGTGCTGAGTAGTAAATTTCCTGAATACAAAGGTTACATGCCTTGCTTTACACATTGGGAAACTGAGGATCAGGAGTATTCAGTGACTTTTCCAGGGTCACCTGGCTGGAAAATGGCAGAGAGTCTATTCCTTGATCTTTCATTCATACAATAAATCTTTATTGAGCATCTAATATTTGTTGGACGCTCTTCCATGTACTGAGGACACACTGGTGAACAAGATACAAGACCTTGAAGTGCGTGTGTCCTTGTTGTCTACTAATTGTCAGTTGTGCCATGCTTCTGATGGAGGTGCATAATCATAGTGGGACCTACCACCGGCCATAATTGGAGGGGAGAGGAAAGAGAACTAGAAAGATTTACTTGCCTGAATTGCATTTGAGTTGAGCTTTAAAGAATGAGAAGAAGCTAACTAGGGAAAAGGAAGAAAGAGCTTTCCAGGCAGTGGGACTGACGTCTGCAAAAGCTGGAAGCATGAACAAATGACCTGTGTCTTTGTTGAACTGATGGGAGGATGAGGCTGGAGAGGTGGACAGAGGCCAGATCCAGCAGGCTGTATTGTATTAGGCAGAGGAATGAAACTGTGGCTGCTGCAAGTAAGACAGATTAGAGGGGGCCAGGAATGGAAGCAGGGAGATAAGGGGCTGTTGGGGCGGTCCAAAGGAGAGAGAATAGTAGCTTGGGCCAGAATGGCCATAAAGGGGTGGTGGATTAAAGTAAAAGTATTGGTACTCCCTAAGAGGATGGAGATGGGAGGAGAGGGTCAGGAGGATGTGCTTCAGATCCAGTCAGTGTCTGGCTAGAAAACCCCAGAGTTCACAAAAACACTGCTTGAGCTAATAAAATCAGCATGGTTTAAGTATACAAAATCAACACACAAAAATCAGTTGTAATTCTATATCTAGCAATGAACAATCTGAAAAGGAAATTAACAGCTCTATTTACAAGAGCATCTAGAAGAACAAAACACATATGAACAGATTTAACCAAGGAGGTGCAAATCTTATACACTGAAAACTACAAACATTGCTAAAAGAAATGAGAGAAAACCAAAGTAAATGGGAAAATATACCATGTGCATGGTATATTGGATTGAAATACTTAATAGTGCATGGATTGAAAGATTTAATAGTGTTAAGATGACAACACTTCCCAAAGTTGTATACAGATTCAATGCAATTCATATCAAAATCTTGATGATGGTTTTTTTGCAGAAATGGAAAAAGTCATTCTAAAATCCATAGGTAATTTCAAGGGATTGAGACCAGCCTGAACAATCTTGAGATAGAACAAAGTTGGAGGTATCACACTTGCTGATTTCATAACTTCCTCAAAATTATAGTAATCAAAATAGTGTGATACTATCATAAGGATAAACATATAGAACAACGGAATAGAATCAAGAATCTAACAGTAAACCATTACATTTCTAGTCAACTGACTTTTGTCATGAGTGCCAGGACTTTTCAATGGGCACATTTTTTATTCTTTAATAAATTTTACTGGAAAAACTGGATGTCCACATGAATATATTTTGAATAAATTAGACTCTTATACCATATTTAAAAACTAACTCAAAGTGGATCAGAGGTCTAAATTTAGAAACTAAAAATCTCTTAGAGGAAAGCATAAGGGCAAATCTGAATGACCTTAGATTTGTCAAGTATTTCTTAAACATCAAAGCATAGGTAACAAAAGAAAAAATAGTACATTGAACTTCATTACAATTGAAAACTTTTGTGCATCAAAGAACAATACTAAAAAAGTACAAAGAAAATCTAGAATGGGAGAAAAGATTTGCAAATCATATCTGCAAGCAGGACCTCTCATTGTCATTGGAATGCTTAATAGGCATCTCATACCAATGTGTCCAAAATTTCTAAACTAACTTCCGTAGTACTCACCAGTCACTCCTGCATTTTTTCCATCTCAGTTCATAGCAGTGCCATTCTTTCACTTAAACCAAAAACCCTGCAGGCATCTTTCTCTCCTCCCTTTCCCTCACACCCACTTTCATCTAGCAACCCATCCTGTTGGTTCTATCTTCAAAGCATCCTGCAGAATTCAACCATGTCTTACCTTCCCTCCCATTACCCTCTGGCTCTTTGTCCAAGCCACTGTCAGTCATCTCCTGACTGAATCACTGCCCTGGCCTCCTCACTGAGTCCCCTGAGTCCCCTGTGACCACCTTGTCCACCGTAGTCTGTCCTCAGCCCCAAAGCCAGGCGATGCCATTAAACCTGAGTGAGAGCGTGGCCCTTGCCTCCAAGAACATTCTGGTTGCTCTTAGCTCACTCAAGGCAGAAGCCAAAGGCTTACAGTGGACAGCCAGGCTGCACATGACCTCCCTAACCTCATTTCCTCCTTTTGCTGCTTACCCTCTCCTCCTGTTCACTCTGCTCCAGCTCTATCAGCCTCCTCGCTGACCTTGAACACACCTAGCCCGCTTTTACCTTGGAGCTTGGAAGTACTCTTCTTGGGATGCTCTTTCTACACATTCCTGCCTGGTCTTTACTCCCCCAGCCTTCAGGTCTTTCTCAAAAGTCACCTTCATGGACAGGTGTTCCTTGAGCATCTCCATTGACAATGTCAACACTTCCTCTGCCTCCATCGTCTTTATCTCCCTTCCCTCCTCTTGTATTTCTTCCTAGTGCTCATTAGTATCCAACATAACTTTGTTTCACCTATTTCTCTTGTTATCCTTCTCTCCTACCAGGATTTCAGGGTAGCAGGGATTTTTGTCTGTTCTGTTCTCCACTGTGTCCTACAGTCTGAAACTGTGCCTGGAATATCTTAAGGATGGATATATATTAGATAAAATGAACCTGCATAGAGCTGAACACTGGAACCCAGAAGGAGAGACTGTGGAGGAAGCGAAGGAAAGTTAGAGCTGGGCAGACCACTCTTTGCCACCCTCTGAGGAGGGCAAAGACAGAGAACATGGAGGCATAGGGTAAGATAAGAATTTCAAGAGAAAATGGCTAATGGGCACCACACTGTTAGCAGAAGTTATCTTTAGAAAAAGATGAATTCATGGTTGATGAAGAACATAGAAAAAGAGTGTTCTCAGAGACCTGTGATGGGAGGGGAAGTTGGCACAGTCACTTTGAAGGGCAACCTGGCAGTGTTGTAAAACTTAACCATATACTGTGGAATCCAGCTGCTTCATTTCTCAGTTACATAGATATATAAAAACTCACACACACACACACATGGAAGCATGCCCAGGAACATTTTCTGCATTCCTTGGTCATTGTGAAAAATTGGAAACAGCTGGAAAAAGGAACGGCTGGATATATTGCAGTTCATCCATCACGTGAAACCCTCTGTGGCAGATCTATGTATACTAACAGGCTGGATCACCACAACATAATGTTAAAAGAATAAAGCATACTCCTGAATTTTATCTACACTATGAGCTCGCTTCCATTGAAAAAGACAAAGAGGGGGGAAGTATTATAAGTGATTTTAAATTTTTTGTCCTTTATTTTCTTTAATTTTAAATGTTTTTAAGAAATCACTAAAAAAAAAAAATCACTAGTCTGCATTACATTTACAATCTGATAAAATTGAGAGTTTAAAATACTTTTTGGCAGCCCAAGTGTTTTAAGAAGCAAGAAAGGAGCCAGGTCTGAGCTTCAATCTGCTGGAAGGTTGGGGGGAAGAACTGGGTGAGTCATCAAATGTACTGATGGGTCTTCACCTCTGCCAGTTCAGGTTCAGAAGGTGGGCTGAGGCTACAGCTGCAGGAGGTGAGGGAATGGGTGAAGATGAGGAAATAAACAGTCCAAGCAGCTCTTCCCACAGTAGGGGAGGGGAAGGAGTATTTTGAGAAAATTGAAAGGAGAATTTTTATGGTTGAAGGAGACTTGAGTATTGCAAGGTGTCAGCAGGTGGTTGATTTTTAAAGTTAGCTCTGTGTATCCCTGAATGGTAATTTATACAATACTCTCAACCAATATTTACTGAGGGCTGGTGACAAATTCCAAGGTGTTAATAGAAGCAAAGCAGGGAGCATCTGCTCCCCTTTCTCTGTCCAACACTCCCCCATCACTTTAGACCCAACTCACATGGTGGCATAGGGGTTAAAGAATCCACCTGCCAAATCAGGAGACACAGGAGATGTGAGTTTGATCCCTGGGTCAGGAAGATCCTCTAGAGGAGGAAATGGGAACCCACACCAGTATTCTTGCCTGGAAAACCCACAGGCAGAGGACCTTGGCAGGCTACAGTCCATGGAGAACGCAAAGAGTCAGACAGGACTGAGCACACAGGCACGCACAACATCAATGGTGCATTTGCAGACCTGTGTCTGTAAAACCTGCTTCCAAGTTCTGTTTCTTTAAAAACCATAGTCCTCTATCATTTCCCGAAACCCTGCTGGCTTTGGAAATATGCCTGATCTCTCCTGAACTTACCCTGCCTTAAGCAATCTGAAATGTTTAGTTCTTTCTTCATTACTATGAATTATAAAAGCTCAGCAAAAATGTCCTGACTATGGCCTCAAGACTGATGAAACTAAACTAACTCATACTTAACAAAGAGTGTTAATTTCCCTAGCCACGGTTACTCCTTGCCTGCTGTACTTAAGTCTGCCAAGTGACCTGC